ACGATGTATCAATTTAAGGCTTAGAATTATATTTTTATTAATAGAAGAATTACATTTTAAATTATCCTTAATTTAAGGCCTACTCTTTTATTTAACTTTCTCATCAAAAGGTCCGACTAACTTTATTTTGACATAAATATGTGAACCAACTATTATGTGAACAAAAATATTATTATTATTTTTTCTTATAATTTATATTTTACATACTTATAACAAAAAAATATCTTTTGTAAAATTACATTAATAAAAAAACGAAACTATATAAATTAAAATTATGCAGAATTGTAATAATGATTATTTTTAAAAATTGATATTTAAATATGCAGCTGAAATATTATTTTATCAATAATATTAATATGTAATAAAGTAAAATATAATATTTAAATAATATTTCCTTTATTTTAGCTTTTCACGATTATAATTTTTTTTTTTCAAAAAAAAAGTTGATACCATTGTACATATTTATTTTAATAAAAAACAAATTATTTTAATTACATACTTTTCAAATACTAGTAAAGTGCACGTGCAATGCACGTGGTGACAAATATTTTTGGCCGATAAGATAAATTAATTAATTTATTAAATATATGATTGCAAGCACAAACTGAAATATAGAACAAATAAACTCTTAATATAAATTTTTTGTTAAAAACAACATAATGATGTCGTAACATAAAAGGATTTAAATAACATGTTACAAACTCAAACAAAAATATATAAGAAAATAAGTCCCTAATAATAATAGTAATAAAAAAAAAATAAATAAGGATCTAATGTATATTATAGATGCATGAGTTATTTTATCTATTTATAATGTTCGAGAGTCATTTTTTTTTTCATTTTAGTTTTGAGTTCTCATAAGAAACATTCATACTCATTGGAGTCCAATACATCAATAGTATTGCAAAATTATTCTTAATTAATTAGTAAAACGTCTACTTTATTCAACACTTATAAATACTTTAGCCAAACATATAGTCAAACTTCATAATTGAAAAATCATTATAAGGTATTTCAACTAACATTTCATAATTATCTATGTGAACTAACCAACCGTGTCATTGAAATTCGTGATTTTTTTTTATCATTGTATAAACTACTACATTACTCTCTCTCTTTCTCTTTCTCTCTCCCCATATAGACAAATTGATACATATCATAAAGAGTGAGAACGAATTTTATTTCTAAATAAAAGTTGATTTTTCAAAATCATGTACTTCGAAAAGATGCTAAACTATTTTTATTATCATCATATTACATGAAGTACATACTCTAAAGTAATTGCGCATATTCTCGAGCACAATACACAATTAAGATTGTAAATGTTCCTATTAAAAAGTGACAACTTACTCAAACATTCAAAAACATTTTGATCATAATCGAACATTCTCTTTTTAGTGTTATTTATTTAGAAGATTGACAAACTACATACCCTATTGTTTGCAAATCATTAACTATTTTGGTTGTTGCAATGATTTCAAAGTTATTTGTCTTAATACTTTTCCCAATCAATCGAATTTGTAATATTGAGAAGCATATCACTTTGTCAAAATATTTCAGATGAAAAGAATTTGAATTATATTATATTATGATACTCTTAGTCATATGAAGTTTATTATTATGACGTCATTATTAAAGTTTGTGGTCCATATTATGATTATATGGAATCATTATTTATGATTACCAATTTCTTATAGAGAAAATAATTTAAATGCTAGCTAAAAAAAGTAGTAACTATAAATAAAAGATTTTTGTTTCTTGATATTAGTATTCATGGTACTCATACTTTTCTAAGAAAATTCAAACTTTTTTCTTTCCCATTTGCATTAACATTCTATTTATATGCATTGTTTTTTTTTTTTTTTAACTTGTTTGATAGTAATAATATATTTGATAAAAGTGTACTTTTATATTGTTTATAATATTAAAATTCTTTAGATCTTTTTTTCATTGTTTGCTAAATATTAAGTAACTAACTCATTTTTATATTCACAAAGTATATTTTACACCCTTATGGTGTTTCATTTCAAGCAGTAATTGAATAATTGTTTAACATACGATCCATTAATTTTTTTAATTCACAT